TTTGATTTTTTCAGGAACTAATTGTATATAGTATGGATTTGTTTGTAATTGGAAACGTATTGATTGAATTTGTTTGTAATTGTGTGCTTAGTTGGCGATCTTGAGCTTAGGTGGCAGTCATTCAGTGTAGTATAAAAGCTGACGTGGATGTTGATTTTCATATAATAGATAGATGATGGTATATAGGATCACCAAAAACGATAGAAACCGATTTACCAACCCCAACCAAGCCTATTCGGTAAACGGTATGGAAAAAATTCTAAATATTCGGAAAATGCTAAATTGATCAGTAAATTAGTAAAAAAAATCGGTAATTACTGATTTTGTCGAAATACGGCATCATTTTGTTATATATATAAATATATTTTTTAGAACTTAATTTTAGGATTTTTTTTCTAGTTCTTCCTTTTAAATGTCAATGTGATGAATTAAAATTTACACACATGATGTAACTCAACTAATTAGGAAAGGTAGGGGAAAAAATGGAAAGGTGTTTGACTAATTTAATGAGATAAAAAATGAAATGAAAAAAAAAAAGATTGGACTAAAAATTATATTTTCAATTTCAAATATCAATGATAGATTTTTTTTTTTTTTTTTAAGATTGGAGCGTAAAAGATGTATATTTTCAATGTTCCGCAATATCAATGATAAGATTTTTTTTTTTTTTTTTTGAAGAGTAGAAGAAGGTATTCAGTTCACTCAAGGGGAAGGAGAAATGTCCTAAGACGAGATTCAGGGACCCGGCCCAAATCTGAGTACGAGTAAAACGAATAAGACGCTCTAGCAAGGAATATGAGCGTTATTATGTCGGGGCTTGCCGTACGTGGAACCAAAATGACTTTATGTCAGTCTAATCGTAGAATGACTGTACAATCGAAAATAACAATACCGAATAAGATGGTCTAATATCTAGTATCTAGAATGAACTTACAATCGAAAATAACAATACCGAAATAAGATAGGTCTAATACTTTAGACTTTAAAGCATGAAAAACTAAAAGAGAATCCAGGTAAATAAATCCATAACCATCCCAAAAGTCATGGATGTGGACTAGACAAGCACGAAGAGCAACAGCTTCAATAATAGAAGGATCACCACCGCCGTCATAGTATCCTGAAACTGCTTGAAGGAAATGACCATCATCATCTTCAAAAACAAACCCATAACCAGCAAGTCCCACATCCTGGAAAATGGCCCCATCCACATGCACATGCCATGAAGAGTTAATACCTGCAGTGATGTTTTGAACACTAGGAGGTGACCAAGGGCCATTCAGTTGGTCCACTTGTGATTTTGCTATTAACCAATCATCATAAAACTTGCATGCCTTGGAGTGAGTCACGTTAGGAGGAATAAAATTTTGTTTCGTCACGTAGGCAAGGATAAATTTTTTGTTTTCCATATGCCTTGATTTCTTTGCCTGACCAAATAGACCAAGCTACGAATAAAGAAACACCTTCCCCATTTTCTTTGTTTTTGTTCCTTTACCAATACTGCATAAAAGTAATCAACACGAATTTATGATTAGTTAAGAACTCTTGGAAGCCCGCAACCTCTCCAAACTCCTTTGGCTCTCTACACGCTCAGCGCAAGGGCATGGTCAAATCTTCTTCATCTCTTCTTCATCTCCACAAAAAGAGCATCTCATATCAATATTAACTCCCCTCCTACTCAGCCTTTCTTTAGTAGGAAGAATACCCCTCAAAGATCTCCACATAAAGTCTTTAACTTTTGGGGGGACATTTAAGTTCCATAAGGATTTCCACCACTCTCATCCCACAGGATCAACTCCCCTACCCACTACCCTCAAAGCCACATCATAGCCACTCTTGACTGAATAATACCCTTTTTTATCAAAATGCCAAGTAATATGATCCTGCCTATTAAACAAGCTTAGTGGGATTTTGAGAATCGAATCAACATCCCTCACAAAATCCCTTTGATGGAAAAGTAACAAGAACGCTTTTTCAATGTCCACACTCTTCTGCTTCGTTTTTTAATAAGCGCACACTACTCTGAAAAATGTTCATCCGATCAAACCCAAATCATTATTACAAATTCCGCAATCTCTCCGGCAACCAAAGGCGCTTTTCGCTATCCGATGTTCGGCTCCATTTACCTACTCTCCCATCTAAACCACCTTTTATACTAGGCCTTGAGTAGCACACAATACTCCTCAAATAAGAACTAAGGACTTCTCCTAGTTGAGCCGCCTATCTAGAAAATTCCATAAGGAAAAGTTTTAGAGCTTGAAATCTTATCAGCAAAGAGTAGTGTTGTTGGGTAAAAGGCAACCTCCAACCGTTGTTTCCCAAGCATAGCCAAATTTAACAACTATGGAGATGGCGGTCTTAAACACCATCCCCACCTGCCACTTTTTCCACTCCTATGATCGCCACAGCAGATGGGAGACTTCTACACCTCGCCTCCCATTCAAACCGCACAGCGGCAAAATCTATTACAGTGAATTTTTGTGGGAGGTCAAGTCGGCGGAATACCGCATTGGGTACGGTACACTCAGGCAATAAGGAAGGAATGCTTTGAGCTATACGACTTTATAAGTACCGCTTCGGCCTCCCTACCTGCTCTAAGCTAACTGGCTACCCTAGCAAGAAAGCGCTGAACCAATTATTAAGGTTCTGTTCCAAGTCCATCCTTGATAAAATTAAACAACATTTCTCCGCCGATTCTTTCTTCTCTCACCATACAAGCGACAAACCAAATCAGAAAACACACCTTTCGCAGCGCCACGGCATGTAAAACATAACGGATATTCCGATACTAAAAACCTGCCTACTTGGGAACGGAGAAATACATTTTTGCACGTTGAAAAATCATAAATGATATGTGCCCAGGATGGATTTATATTGAAGATTTTCAGCGGGGCAAGTCTTGTGACCTGATCTGTGTGTTCCATAAACAGGTATACACTAGTGAGGGGCAGATGAAGTAATTCTTTCTTTTAACACAATATGCTTCCCTCCCTGCTAGCCTCAAGGAAAAAGGAATCGTCAAAGCAAATAAACAGATGAAGAAATTCAGGGGACAACCTCTCCACGCAGCTATCGCCATTCAACAAGCCCTCTTTCTTTCCGCATCAGAAAATAATAGTGATAGGCCCTCCGCACAGATCAAAAAGAGGTAATGGTGGAAATAGGTCTCTCTGGGCCTGAAGACCCCTCTCGGGCCGAGAGAGGGCCAATAACATTATCATTCAATAGGAAGAGAGAGTAGGCTACCCTGGTCAAGCACCACATTCCATGCCTAACCGCACCCGACAACGCACAAAAGCCGAGACTCGGAGCATATTCAATAAAAAATCCCAATTAACTCTATCATAGCTTTTGCTGATGTCAAGCTTCATGCACATAAACCGCTGCCCGGGAATGTTTTAACCCGACCATATTTAATGCAACATTTCAAAAGCTACACAGATAATTATAGGCCAAGTGATATAGAAGGCCGAAGAGGGCCAATAACATTATCATTCAATAGGAAAGAGTAGCTAACCTTGGTCACACACATCTCCATCCACCGCACCCACACCACAAAAGCCGAGACTTCGGAGCATATCAATTAAAAAATCCCAATTAACTCTATCATAAGCTTTGCTGATGTCAAGCTTCAATGCACATAAACCCTTACCATGTTTAACCCGACCCATATTATGCAACATTTCAAAAGCTACACAGATATTATCAGTGATTAGACGGCCCGGTACAAAAGCAGGCTGACTCTCTGAAATATTCTTAGGCAAAACAGTCTTTAATCTATTGGCTAAAGCTTTAGAGAGAATTTTATATAACACATTACATAAAGAAATGGGTCTAAACTGTGATAACTGAACTGGTGCAATAGTTTTGGGAATTAATACAACCAGAGTATCACACAAAGAATCAGGAAGGGTACCTTGTTGAAGCCATAATCTACACCCATTGCACACATCTTGACCAATCACATGCCAAAATCTCTGAAAGAAAGCTGAATTAAGATCGTCCGGGCCGGGAGCCTTATCAGGATGCATTTGAAAGCGTGCACTGTGGCAGTCAAGTTTTTTTCAATGATAGATTGAATTCCTAGTTGTGACATGTCATGGTAATTGGTTTATCATTTTCATGTTCCCAGATAATTGGAACATAGGACAAATATCCATCTAAAGGTTCTATATTCACTAAAAAACAAAAGAAAGAAAGAAAGAAAAAAAGAATCTCATATTTCATATATATTTCTCACTGAGTCCAATAACAACATTATTATATGGTCTACAGCAAAAACATTCATCTTCTTAATCCATTTTAAAACTGAAGATGTCATCTAGTTTAATGAAATTAGATCTTTATGAAATGTTAAAAGAAATAACATTTCATAATGAGTGTTCATAATGAGTGTTCTTACACTACGTCGATAGACATTACAAATAATAGAAATAGTATTTTGACTAATGCTACTATACATGAAAAACCGTTGTCCAAAAGGACTTTGATTGGAAGTAGTATTGTAGGAATTATAATTTCTCAAGAAGTATATGAAGTTTTTCTGCATCATCAATTAAATTTCTAGGGAAGTTATACTTTCTCAGCGAAGTGAAGTGTAATGAAGTTACCAATATTATTTAAATGCACTTTGCAATTTATTTCGTAAAAAATAATTTGCTTGAAAATTGATTTGAGTAATTTATTTTTTAGAGAACTAATTGGAGCACTAAACATACATAAATTATATGTTTCAAAAAATAATTTTCTCGAAAATATATGTTTGCTAAATATATTTTTTGAGGAATATACTTTTTGGGATTAAATAGATTTCATCCTAAAAATAATACTACCCGTTTGATTGTGTATACACTTCTTTTCACGTTTAGTAATTACAAACTAGTACTAGAATGTGACATTTTGCACGTATATGTACTTATTTTGTCAGTAGCGTCAAGTACTTTTTTAACGCAATAATTCAACCACACGCCGTCGTTGGCTAACGTGCGCCATCCAGGACTTTCCATTGAACTATTACGGGTTGTTGCCGCTGACGTTGACCCGCCAGTACACCTACGGCTCAATTTAGACTTAACCACATCCACCAGTACCAAACACAGATCCCAGGAAATAAACGGTTTTATGAATAAACTGTATTAGGAGGCAGTTAAAGATAGTAACTTTCAATTCTTGCTGGTTGCTTGATCATCTTTCTTTCTCTTCCTGTTCAAAACCCATCAAACATTTCCCATAAAGGTAACGTTTTTGTCTCTGGCAAACTCAATTCACTGATTTCTTTACATAACGTTTATGTTGTTCTTACTTGCTTTATGCACTTCCTATTTTGGTCATTGGGTTTTTGATGAAATGTGAATTCTTTGAACTTCGACTGTACTCTGTGGTTTTGGTGGGTCTAATTCTAAGTTGGGATTCGATTTTCTTAATTTTGTTGTTTTGACTGGCTTTTGATAGGCAGGGAATTGTATTTGTAGTATAATGATGGTTGGCTTCTGGTCTTGTGTAATGAAATTGTCGCTATTGAAGTTCAAATCAATTTCAATATTACTTAATATCCGAGAATATCTATCCGGTGGACTGAATTAAAAGATGTTATATAACTGGATATTGAGTGACTTTACTATATCTTTGCAAAGTTAGGAATTAAGAAGTTGAAGGTTTTGATTATAATATGTGATTTGATTATCTGAGAAGCTTTTTTTATTATCTGGATTTTGACTCCTCACATTGTGGCTTTTTCATGAAAGAAACTTAAGTATGTTTTTAATTAAACCCTGGAAAACATTTTCATTAAGTATGTTTTTTCATTATGTGAAAAATTTTGGTGGTTATAATTAGGATACCTACTAGCTGTATGGTACTCTTATTTAGGTGTCTAATCTTTCTCATAGCGAATACCTCAGTCTTAGACAAGAGGACAATATTTGTACATTTGCTTTTGAAGTTTCTTTTCCTTTTGAATGATGTGTGACTCCTGAATGAAGTTCAGAACTTCCTTCTTTTTTCCGTCTGTACTTTATTACCTGGTTATATGATTGAGTAGGAAATGTTGTAGGTAAAGTGTTCGATTACGTCCTACAAGTTAGCTAAAGTTGGCATGTAAATTTGGAATTTCAGTTTCTTTTGTTCGGCTAATTAGAGAAAGCTGCATATGATTCTCCATTTTTCTATTGGTCGAAAGTGATGCTTGCTGGGCAGTAAGTTTCATGGTACTTTTCTGTCGTTTTGGTTCTGGTGATTATTCTCCCTATTACCTGATGTTTGGATGAACTAATAATTGAGTCTGCTAGTACAAAAATGTTCTGTATATTTTTGAGTACATGATTATGCTACCTTTGCTCTTCTTTTTTTAATCTAAAACTTCCTCTCTTTTTGTAGTTTGCACTTTAATTAATGAAAGACCAAATAAAAAGCTGATTGCTGATTCTTTCTTGTCTGCTTTTATTCTTTCAGGTTTCAAGATTAAGGAATTGAGCAGTGAAAATGGATGATAATCCGCAGTCTGATAAAGGTTATAGACATGAAGGAAACTCATCCAGGGCAGAAGGCATGCAAGATGTAGAAAGTACCATGGAAGTTTTAACCAGATCTGACTTGGATTTGGCTTATTCTTCTGAGAAGTTGGTAAATTTGCATGTCATTTTGATGCATCTATTGGCTTGGGATAATGACTTTGAGCTAATGACCTTGGAGAATAGCTCTCTCTCAGAAACATCCATTGAAAAGGCACTTGTATTTGATCTTCTATCTGGTATTTTGGATTCTGAGGTAAGAGAGGTGGAGAATTTCATGGATAATATCCAAGCAGATATTGTTGATGTTCGTCATAAAATATTTTCATGCAGACACCCAACAGAATTATTCAAAATCATGGAAGAGAAATTACGTGAGTCTGAGGAATCATTGAAGAAGACACAAGTGTGGGTTCTAGAGGTGAAGACGCTGTCAGTCAAGTTGCAGAGGGTCTATTCACCTTTCATGCTTGAGAACTGTAAGTTGGATTTATTGATTTCAAAGCAAATATGTAGAAATTCTCTACTTTCTGTTATTCACCTGTTTGAGACTTCACATTGATAGGGAAAGATGATAAGTCCATAGAGTTATCTGCCAATGGTCAACTGCCAAATTTTAATGCAAATTCAAAGGAGCAAACAGTTGAACAACAAAGAAATATTTTAAGAATGTTGGAGAAGTCTCTTGCAAGTGAACTAGATCTTGAGAAGCAATCGTCAGAGCTAAGACAGAATGAAGAACAGCTGAAATTAAAGCTTCACTACACTGAACAGGTAGCTTTTCGCATGGAGGAAGCAGCAGAAGTGGTTTGGGGAAGGTTTTTAGAGGCTGAAAATGCTGCTGAGGTGCTCATGGGGATTTCAAAGGAATTGGTTGGTCGACTTCAAGTGGTTCAATTTAATCTGAATGGCTCGCTTCAACGAGAAGCTAAATTAAAATCCGAACTCCAAGGCTTCACAAAACAGTTAGATGCCAAAGATAGTATTTTGAAAAAGCTTGAGGGTAGCATTGCAGAACACAAAGCCAAAAGCTCTGAAGTTCCGGCTTTAAAGGAAAAAGTAAATTCACTTGAGGAACGGCTGAAAAGAGCTGAATTACATCTTAAGAGTGCAAATGTTCTCAATGAAGAAAGTCAAGATCAGCTTAATGAGATGGAGAATATAGTTGAATCTCTGAAAGAAAGTATCTATGAAGCAGAAAGTAGGGCTGATACTGCAGAAGCCAAAGTTGCACAATTAACGGATACAAATGTGGAGCTCACGGAGGAAATTAATTTTCTTAAAAGTAGCGGAGATAGTAATACCAAGAAGGTAAGCTTACTTGAGAAGCAGGTTAGGGAATTGGAAATCCAACTACAACATTCAAAGGCATCATCTGAAGCAAGTCAAGAGCAACAGAATATGTTGTATGCTGCAATATGGGATATGGAAACATTAATTGAAGATCTAAAATCAAAGGTATCCAAAGCTGAAAGCAAGACTGAGGGTGTAGAAGAGCAATGTATAATATTATCTGACACTAATATGGAACTTGATAAAGAATTAAGTTTCTTAAGGTCTAGAGTGAAAGCCTTGGAAGCTTCTTTGGATCAAGTTAACAAGTTGAAAGCAGCAACTGCGAAAGAAATTAATCGGAGGACCAGGCTTATAATGGATACTGCTATGCAACTAGCTAGAGAAAGGGAGCAGATCCAGAATCAGGTATGAATTTCTTGCATACTTACAATCACCAGTTCCCACATAACCAGTAGCTTTAAGGTGCTACATTCCATGTTTGCTCTCAAAGCGATTATAGGAACTTGATGGTGCATATAAGTGTCTTTGTGCATATCTTATAGTATTTTTGCTGATATGGCCTCATGTGAATCCTAAGCCTATCATACTAATGTGATGGTCTATGTCATTATTGCTGCAGAACAAGGGGCAATTATTTTTTAGTATGTCAAAAATTAATTGAATCACTAATTTCCTATGAGATATTCATTAACAGCCTATTAATCCTTTATTGTTATTTTTCTATAGTAATCCCCTTTTTTCCTTTTTCAGTTTTGTTACTCTTTTTTTTTTCCTTTAAAAAAAAGTACGTGTAAATTTATGTTGTCATCTACAACAAATTTAGAGGACTAGGACATTCATTTATAGTATGCTTTATGCAGCTAATTGCCTTGACAAAGGAGAACGGAGTATTGGTGCAAAAGTTAAGAAATGCTAAAGGAGATGCTCCTATAATTGCATTCCAACATGGAGATGATAATGATAAAAAGACATTCTTTTCAGAAAACTTATCTACTGAAACTTGTAAGAGAGCTTCTGAGGAAGCAGTGCCCCTCTCTAAAAGTTCTGAGGCAGGTACCTTCTAGGATCTTTTCTGTTCTGTTTTGTTAATTATTATATCTATCACATTGTGGCGATCTCTGCACTCTGGATGGGTTTACTGCAGTTGCTTCAGAAAGAAAATTATAACTCTTCTTGTGATCTTAGCTTCAAGTCCTGCTATATGTGTTTAATTAAAATTTGAATCAGAAGAGATAGATGAACTAATTTTAAAGTGATTGTTCGTATTGGATAAGTTTGCAACACTCATATATTATAATGGATCCTCTCCTTGGATAAGAACTCTTGTTTGTCCGTTGTCAATCCGCACTTGCGGTAAAGGGTCCGTAAAACTTGCAATTTGTTTCTTCTTTTGAAGCTTTGATATTGATGCCACTAAGCAATGTGGATGACCTCAATTTTATGTTCGGCAGTCGTTTTCTACAATCCTGTGTTCCATTTGTCTCGAGTATACAATCAGTATTCCTTGAACATTATCTCTAGAGTAATAATTGTCTTAGGAAAACTAATTCATATTTCATTTTCAGTTCCTCTTTCCTTACTTCTTAGAAGCAGATAGAAAAGGCTGGGAAAGCACTTAAAGCAATTATGTAATTTGCAAAGATGCAATAGACCAACCCTTCTCCAAGCCTCAACCTATTTCCCTGCTATAATTCAATGGGGCCAAAAAAAAAAAAAAAAAGTTGTCTGAGGAAAACTAATTTATTTCCATTTTTTCAGTTCCTCTTTCCCTTACTTCTTAGAAGCAAAATAGAAAAAGGCGGGAAAGACTAGAAAGCATTATATTTGCAAAGATGCAATAGACCAACCCCTTCTCCAAGCCTCAACCATTTCCCTGTCTATAACATGCAAGACCGGCCAAAAAAAAAAAAAAAACACTGGCACTGATTCTGTTGCGTACCCTGAGATTAAAGGGAGAGATATGGGGGTGTAGTGAGTGTTATCCTTTAGTTACCCATAATTACCAATATCTGAATACACTGTGCAAGAAAATATTTATTATTTAGTAAAGGGAACTCGTAATCAAGCCCAAAAATGATTTATCCCCTTTCAAAAATCACTATTTATGTCACTGGAGGTTGGAATTGGATTAGCAGTTCTGGAATGGAAATATATTTTCCCCCTTCAGTAACCTAGTTGATGTCTTCAAGTTTTTGTGGTTGGCGAGGGCGTGCAAAATAAATGAGGCTTTGTGAAAAAGTACTCGTATGAATCACAAAGAACACTTTTACAGGCCATCCTTGTTGATGACCAAACAGAGGACCAAACAAATATTGTTGTGTTGGCGGGGACATTAGCTTTAATTGAAGTAAAACACACAACCGGTGTGTGAAATTGTAGCTGATAGACCACATTGCTAAAATGGATGAAGTTGAAGGATAGATTTTGAACCTGATGCTTATTTTTTCTCCCCTTGTTATCGTTTTGATCTGATTTTCATATATTTAATTTTCTCTGAATCAGGCGGATAAAGTCTTCAAAGATGGATCTCGACGAGAGATTGAAACGGAGAGTTCTGATTCAAAGCTTAAATTGGAGAAGACAGAACAGAAAGAGGAAGCTCATCCAATACGTAACTTTAAGGCTGTTCTTGTTGCAGTAATTGCAGTGATAGTGATATATTTGTTACACAAGAAAAAACCTGTCCTGTTTGACAACTTTTACAATAGCTAGTTTTTTATGGTACTGTGCTTGTATGTTGTATTGGTGTGCTGGAATTGTGTTTCATAGTTGCACATAGTTATTCTTTTCTTTCTTTTTTCTTTTTAGCGTTCTTCATGGAAAGTCTGGAATCTTTGTAATGAAAAACTTACCATCATCCAATTCTTTGATTGTAATACTTTCTATTCTGTATGATTTTCTATTTCTTTAGAATATATAATGTGATTTCATTTCATTTGATAATTTTACTAGTGTTTACCATTTTCCAAAAAATTTACCTTGAGTTTGCATATCTGATCCATATTAACATCCCTTTTTACCAACAACCATGGTGGATCCTGGAAAATTTTTTTTCTGGGTCAATATATAAAAATTAAAAAAAAAAATAATTGATTGATATATTTAAGAAAATATAAATTGCTCCAGGATCAACGGTTGATTTTAATAACACTGCAAACTATATAAAAATGATAACATCTCTTTTAATTAGTATTTATTAAATTAGTGACAGCTTTAACAGACGATTTAAACTCAAGATTTCCATTCTCTATCGTTTATAAGACATGAGAAAATCAGAAACAGACGTAATTGGCTAATTTTCCTTTTTGTTTTTCTTTACCAATTAACCAAGTAACTAACGAATAAGAGTATTTTATTTTTGGTTACGACTTAGGAGGACATATCCCAACCTTACAGTATGGGCTGGGCTTGGTCTTATCTTGATGTTACCAAACAACGACGTCGTAATCTGCGCTGAGCTCAGTTCATCCGTTGCCCAACACGTAATTCATACGTGGCGATTTGTTATCGTACTTTGAAAAATGATTGATTAACAAACCCTAATCTTTTTCAGAGCTCTAAACCCTTGTTTGAATACGTATAAAACCCTGTCGAGGGAAAAACTAAGCAACGGTTGCAGTTCCACAAAAACTAAAACAAATTCTGAGAATTTGCTTAGAAACGCCTCCGCGAGTCCCAATTAGCGATCAATTTTTGCAGAAATTGCTCAGTTTGAGGTAAGAGAAATGCTCTACTTAGTAGAGAGAATATTTTTTTTTCATTGCAAAAGCACCATCTAGCCCCTTGATTCTTCGAGTTAGAGTTTCAAGGAATCAATGGAGAAAAAGGGTATTAAAAAGGTGCGAAATTTATAAAAACATGGAGGCAAATTTCTCTCTTGCGGTTTATTATAGCTTTGTAATCTTGTGCTGAGAGTCAATTTTGCCTTAAAATTTTTTTTTTCAGTGTCGGATTTTGGAGTTTTTGTGATCAAGTGTTGAAAGGCAAAGCAAAATGATGAGTTATTTTATATCTGAATTTAAATGTGGAATTTATTTTCCTTCAAAGTTCTCTGATTGCTTTGCTTAGCAGCTTTCATTTGATTAGATCTGAATTTATTTTTTTTCAAAGAATTTATAGTCTGTGGTAGTGTAATATAATGCTTCATGGGAATATTTTTCAAAATTTTTTATTAATTTTTTTTTAATGATTTTTACTCACCATGGGAACTAATTCAGTGGCAAATAAAAAAATGATGAGATTCTGATGGCCGAATTTTGAATGTGGAATCACCATATCTTAATAGCCTTCAAAGTTCTCTGATTCTTTTGCTGTATGTATATCTCACTGTTGCTTACAAAGAAATGGATTGGTATTCTCTAAGTTATTATCTTTGTTCAGAATGGTTTTTCAAAGTTGTCTTCTTTTAGGCTGGAATTTTGTGTGCTTTTACGCCAGTTTGTTTGTCCTAATTTTCGATTTAATTCATCGACTGATATTTGGCTTCTGTTTTATTTTATGAAACAAAGGCTTGACATGTTTTTAGCTGCTGCTGAGTTTCTTTTTTTTAAGGCTGGTCCACATGTGCGATTAGCAATGCGCTTTTGGTACTTTAAGTGCCTGTTTGGCATTGCGTTTGAGCTGCATTGCAATATCTAAGGCTTGGCAAAATATGGTTTGTGAAATGCTAGCTTATTTTACCCCTTTCCAAATCATGCTTTTCCTAAAGCAGTTTAAGGGAAAAAAATGCAGTTTGAGAAGCAGCTCGTACTCAACCCCAAATGGAGCCAAGAGCCTGCCATTGCTCTCATGATTTTTAGTATGGATGGGGCTAAGGTTTTGTAAAGGTTCATTAGGTTGCCTTCTACATGTTTGGGTTGTGAGATGGTAAATGATGGGTTAATTTGTTATTTTAAAGCCAAAACCATCATAATCCACCAATTTTTTGGATTGGAAAATGTGGGGGTCTTAAGGTTTTATCAAACGTTCAGAAACCATACCTCTCCAAAACAAGGGAGTGTGGTTTAGAAACCTTGTTAAGCTTGCATCCCAAAATCTCCCTTTCAAGAGGTCCTGTACTGGGGATGCTTATTTTGTCTTAAGGTTAACTTGCTAAAGTAAGGAGGTTTGTATAAACATGGCACCAAACTTCATAGCCTGTTGTATTTATTATTATTATTCAGGCTAGACGAGCATGGTGCAATATTAATGTCTTTCCTAGTTTTGTTCAAGGATGCCTAACTGATCTTCTTTATATGGTCAACTGAGGAAGAGCTCTGAAGAAACACGCTCTGCTTTCAATTTTTAAATGAAGGATACACATTGGTTTTGCTTTATATCCCATTTCTCTTTTGGTTGCTCATGCAATCATTTTATGCCCCATTGAATTTCATGTAAAGTATTGTTTAGTTCTATTGATTATTGCGATTACTGTGCCTTCTGGCCCATCCATGCTTTAAAGTGCACTATTGATTACTTCTTTTGAAGTGGTGTTTTATATTTTGTATCAGGTCCATAATAGTTCGAAATATCTATTTTGTATTGTATACTTGTTGAATGCTATAGTAATTGTTGCTTAATGATACAATTGTTGGCCTCTGGAGCTTACCAACGATATGCTTGATTTTTTCTCTTGTTTCATTTGTTATGCTTTTGTTGATAAATAAATTGTGAAGAAGCCCTTCACTTACACGAGAACACATTTGTGCTTCAATTTTATGTTTTCACTGCTAAATATTTAGTAGATCATGTTTGGTTATGTCCTTGTGGAAAGATTTCAATGTTTCATGCGTATTACAGTTTCCCAATAGTTTTTGGTGGCTACAGTTTTCCTGATAATGTATGGAGATGGTGTTTCCTTGATTAAGAGGTGATTAGCCATTTGAATTTCTATGTATGGTTATGAATTTAATGCCTGATTTTCTGTCTGCATGATATAAACTGTAAAGTACATTGTGCCTGCAATTTGAAATTTACATACATGTCCTGTATGATAAATTATTTTGCTCTCCTTCGAATTGATACACATTGGTATATCTACAGAAGGAAAAGTTTATAACTTTTATCAACATTTCTTTTTTAGAGAAAACATTGCTTAATTCAATATATTTTAATGCCACCCGTATGTGTAGGTGAGAGTATTTCGTATTCCCTCTGTATCAATCAAAATATAAGTTGGATTAAGGAAGCAATTAATTTTTTTAAATTATAATAAAATTAAGGATAATTTTATCAAATTATTATTTATCTTACAATCAAGGGGAATGCTAGTTTGAAGTGATCTATAAACAGACGAAATATTATTTAGCCTTTAATGAAATTTTTATCAATTCATGTATTTAGTAAAGGTGTTTTTAGTAATTCCGATGTTCCCCATCCATTTCCACTGTTATATATGTTACAGAATGTACCACACGGTCCAACAAATTGATCAATTGATAAGAGTTTATAGATTACTAACATAATGCTCACAAATAAAGCTTATAAATACTCTCAATTTGCACTAAAATTTATTTTATGACCTTGCATTTCTAATTTATAGTTAAACTATTGTTATTGAGAAAATATATCTATTTTAAAATATATTGTTATAGTTAATTTATAGTTAAATTATTTAGTTGTATTGTTGATGCTTTGAGGTTTGATAGCCATGAATAATATTATCACCGTTTTACTCTTCCAAAAAATAAAATCTTAAAGGTTAAGAATTATAAAAATATTAAAATTTTCATTTTAGGTATATACTCTTAAAAATAAATCTTAATTTTTAAGATATTTTTAAAAAATTTAATTTTCGGTTTGACATATTTTAGATTGTTCTTTATTTTATGATTATTTTTTATTTTTAAAATTTTAAAAAAAGCAAAAATTCTGATTGAATTGAATTGAACCGGTCTAACTGCGATCTAATTATGATGTCAGTTCAAAGTTAAATACGGTTTTAAAAACATGATATTTAAAATTTATTACAAAATCAAACAAATACGGAAATATGGAAATATATGGCAATATATAAGAATTAGTTTGTATATGGAAATATAATAATGTTGATACTTTATATTTGTGTTATTGACATATGTATATATATGTGTATGTGCAAGAAAAAGCAAATAGCACAACCAATATATACAAAAGAAAAAAACAAAAAAGAAAACTTGCAACCTCTTTTATTGCCATGAAGATCTCCATGCTCAAATTTTCTCTCCTTGCCATTTTCTTGTTGATTGTCCTTGGTTAGTCTCTCTTACTGTCTGTATATTTTTCTCTTATACATGTCCATATGCAGTAGCAGATGTAGATTGTAAACGAGGGATCAATATATATATGTGTGTGTGTGAAATACTTTTCATATGTTGGTCCCAAAAAAAAAAAAAAAAAATTCTAGATTTGACACTGCCCGTGCATTTGCTTGTTGTTACAGTATTGTGATACATAGTAATTTATCCGATTATGTTTGCAAAAACGTAAAAATTAAAAGCATCTTGGCTCTACTCTATCTCAGGAGTTCGATGGCAATTCCAATTTTAACTTGCAGCTCTTTGTTTCATTGCTTTAATTTTTTATATATAGACTAAATTTAAAAAAGAAACAAATGTTTCAGATTTGCAGAGTGGGGTAAGAGCAAGAGGGCCAATAGTTCGTTATGGATGCAAAACAGTCCAAGATTGTCAACCGGTTTGTACTCAAGAACAATGCCCACCACCCAACTGGTGCTTTTGTGCAAATAATCAGTGTGGGTGCCATCCAGATTCAACCTTTGCTGGAAATCAAACAGTAGAAAAGGAAAAGGAAGTACCAAAAAATGTGTAACTTTACAGAACTTTTTTTTTTTTGAAAGCAACTTTACAGAACTTTTAAACTAGGGTTTTCCTTAGTGTACAAGAATAAATAAAGTTTGGCACCAAAGCCCAACTGTTTAGTGATAATAATACTTGTAAACCTATTGTATTTACAAGTTATATTAAAAACTGCATGTTTGTATCTTTTTCTTGATTATCCAATATATTATTTATAATTAAAAAATAGCAAATATATTATTTTCATATTGATAAATATTGAATTATTAGGTTCTCTAATATGTCAAATCTAACTCGCATATATTAAGCGAAAAAAATACAATAAAATTTCTCGAGTTGGAACATTATATAACATAATTAAAACAAAACAAATTTACAATAAATTATAACAAAGCCAAAAATTCATTTTCCGCTTCAAATTCTTCATTAGCAAAATTATGTTCCTTGCTTGAATTAAATGTTAAGAATCGAAAGATAGATTATCAAATGCTACCACCTTCAAAATCTTTTTTCCTTGCAATTAGCCCAACAAACCTCATTTTAACAAACCTCATTTTAACAAACCTCATTTTTTTAATCAGATTCAACAATTAACTAAAATCATTATACTTCTTTAAATATTGTATACTAGTAATAATAATAATAATAATAATAATATTAATCAAAAATATTAATTATTGTTTACACTATATTTTAATTTTTAATAGCACGATGAAGAAACTGTCCACGCGATGCACAATGAAAAAAGTTACCAGTAGCATGAGCAGTTGAAACGACGTGCATGCTCAAAGTGATAATTGCCAAATGCTCTATAAAATCAAGTTCAAACACCAGAGAGGGCACAACAATCTAAGTCCAAAAATCAAACTCAACAACAATTCAATTGCAATTTCTCAAGCAAATTTCAATTTCAATTTCAATTTCTTTTTTAGTTCATTGTAATTTTCCTTTCCAAGTATTATCAATTTCTATTTCACAACTGCAATCCTTGTCGATATAACAATTTCAATTCAAGCAATCTCTTTTATTTTACAAAACCTTCTGCAGTCTTTTTTTTTCTACGCTGTCTATTTAATTTCAGCAGTTGATGAAGCCTGTACCATGGAGCCAAATCCATTCAGTCCTCTAGTTAGAAGTTCTGATAGCATAATTATTCTTGCAGTTGATAGAATTCAATACCCGAGATACTGGTTATTATAATGATAAAATAGTTAACTATTATTACGTTATTTCAATTATTTATTTGTCAAGTATAATTTTTGTATGTAGTTAAATTCATATAGAATAGTTAAATTATTTTTATCATGTATTCATAATACTAATTACGTACATGCACACTTATATTTATAAGTCTATATTTTACATAAGTCATTATATAGTTAATAATTAATTATTTATATAAAAAAATTACATGAGTAACTATATAAAATTCAGTCCAACTATTATATAAAAGAAATTAAATAATTACTCAATTTTAGTAATAAATGTTTATGGATATTATTTTTATATTTAATCAACATAAATAAAACTGATATTAAGAAATAACATATATTTTTATGTGCCTCAATAATAATAAATTTATTAAAGTAATTTAATAAATGGATTAAGCGGACATGGGTACCTAGACTCTTATTCCAAACAATCACGGATATTAAAAACATTATTCATACCCATCCAAAAACTCATTTGTCGATATCCAAACTTAATTAAACAAATCAAATCGGATTGGCTATTATCCCATATATACATACTAGGTTTGAACCATAGGATCTCCAAAGCGATATTTTTACCAATTTAGGAGTTATATTCAATTGGGATTTTTTTTTTTCCTTTTTTATAGGATTTGTTATCCAATTAATTAATTACATGACCTACTTAATCTTAGGAGGAAGGATTTACCTTCTTGCTTTGTATAGATCTTCAATCAAATATAATTTTTTTGGTCCAAAAATTAAAAAAGTACTAAATTATGGTAATACTTTTAAATGTCAATAGGTATCCTATACACTTCCAAAATAAAGAGTACTTTTAAATGGTAGTATATTTATCTTTATTATAATAATAAAAAATTATCAAGGGTATTTTTGTCCATCCAGTTATCCCTCAAATCATGCCTGACTTTATATAAATAACAGATATATATTTGGAGAAGAAAAAGCAAATAACTTAACCTATATACATAAAAGAAAAAAGACCTCCAACTCTTCAATGGCCATGAAGATGTCAATGCTTAAGTTTACGATCCTTGCCATTTTCTTACTGATCGTCCTTGGTTCGTCTCTATCGTTATTTATGCATTTGCTTTTGAATTATTTCTTAGTTTGAAAAAAATTTATCCAATATAATCCTTTTTGAAAAATTTTAGATGATTACAGTGTAGAAATTGTGATTATTATTTCCTTTTTCATAATATGAAATAAATAAACTTCATAATCTATTTTTTTAACATTGAATAATGAATAATCTGGATCTGCCATTGTCTATATATTTGCTTGTTTTTATAGTAATATTAAAAATATATATGCTTTTGACTAAATGTGAGAAAAAAGCAAATGTTTCAGATTTGCAAGTTGGGGTGCGAGCAAGAGGGCCAATAGTTGGTTTTGGATGCAAAACAGTTCAAGATTGTATTGCAAATAATCCAGTATGTTCACCAGACATTTGCAAACCACCTAACTGGTGCCTCTGCGCAAATGAAAGGTGCGCATGTCAGCCAGTTTCGTTAAGTGCTACAACCCTCATTGGAAGCTAAGGAAAAGATACCGCCAAAACCTTTTATTGGATAAGTGGAAAGGAAGATCTTAATAAAACAAAAATAAAGAAAAGTTTGAGATAATGATACTTAATTACAAATTATAATGAAGACCATATGTTTGTATCCTTGTTTTGGAAATCATTACAGTGAAAATGAAATATTTGCAGTTATCTTATTATTTTTCTTAGTATTTGATTTGAAGCCAAGTAAGAACACCATACTAATTGTTTTGTTTAATTTTTTTTTTCAAAAAGAAAAAAGTTTAATCCCGACTGAACAAATTAAAATTTTAAAATTCCATTGCATCAACAAATGTGTTTTTAAAATCTAACCGGACGTGGTCTGGTTAGTCTTCTCACTAATGTACGAAATAAAAAATTTCGAATTCAAATCCTCTTAATCACAAGAGTTTTCGTCAATTTTGTGACTCGATACCTTTTTTTTTTTTTTTTTTTTTATCTACAACCAAGTAAACAGCCTATTATATTGAAAAACCAAGCTTCTTCATACTGTGTGTGCCAAGCTTATAAAGATGGGTTTCTTCGCGCAAATTATTGAAAAGGTTGCGCACCATATGTCAGCAAACAGATATTACCGTTAAGTGCCATACAACCCTCATATGGCGTGAAGGCTAGGAAAAAAGAATAAAGCCGGCTGATAGCCAAAACCTATATTATTAATGGATAAAGATTTTTAGAGAAAATAAGGAAAGAATATAACTAATAAAAGATCAAAAATATCAACGAGAAAAGTTTTGAGATAATGGAATACTTAATTACAAACTTATAATAGAACGAGACCATAATTGCTTTGTAATCCCTTGTTTTGGAAAATCATTTACAGATGAATAATGAAAATATTCAGTATATATCGGTTAGTTATTTTTTCTTACGCTATTCATGATTAATTGAGAGAACCAAGTAAGGGAACAAGAATACTAAGAATGGAAAGTTTAAAGTGGAGTTTTAGATATATATATTTTTTTTGTTTCAAAAGCCAAAAAAGTTTAAAATTCACCGCCTGCTAGACTGTGAACAAATTAAATAATTTTTAATAAAAGTCTCCATCAATTTGCATCATACAAAGTGATTTTATAAAAATCGTAAAATCGCATGTCTTAGTTCGGCTTCTCCAGCCACAGAGATCGTAACTTAGAGAGTTCGCCTGAGGTATATGTGCATTGCAAGAATAGTGCTCAGTATTGTTGAGATAATATGTGTCTGCGCCACTCATCTTAATATATAGAAATATAGATATACCGTGAATTGCGCTGACTAGTAGAAAAGTGAGGTAATGATCTATATATTCACGGAGTATATATATGATATTATATGACGTCTGATAGTAGGTAGTCCACATGAGCATACTCCATAGCTCTCACACTGCAAGATGATACGCGTGTGAAGATTAAAGATAGTGCGACCAGCTATTTTATTATTATGATGACAATTTCACGTTCGTCTCATAGGAAACCGGAAAGGACCATAGGTGTAAGAGTAGAGAGTGTATATGTGTGTTGTCTTTGTGTGTGTCTTTGCTCTAGTGACGTATCTGTCATAAGATTGCACTCCTGTACACTTGTTTTGTAGGTTCTGGATACTATGTATGCAATTAGAAGTTTATTTCTACCAGCCCCACCTCGCCCATGTAATGAATCAGTAATAGATACAGTGTAGTCGAATGAATGTCCTTGATAACTTATAATGCAAACAGTGGGCACAGAAAACAAGATATTGAGACAGAAATATTCTATATCCGAGAATAAAGCCCTTGTAGAGTAAGTAGTAGCTAGGTCTGTCGACTCTTATTGGGTGTATTTTCTGCGTTTATGATTTTGGTGATATAAGTAATAGTTCTAGAAATAAACAAATAATAAAGTGTGTGAATATATTTAGATTTATGCAAGGAATGAACTTTGCTATTTGATATCTCCTCTTAATATAACTTACCTGTTTACTTTATTATGTTGCTATCAAAAAAGAATCGTATCACATTACCTTTTTTTTTTTTTTTTGAGAAAATGATTAAATATTATTCATAATGAATATCAGAAACACAAAGAGCTTCTACAGTATGAAGAAGCTCAAACTATAACGGAACAAGAACAAAAACCAGAAGCCCTTGCAAGAGTATGAGCTATGTCTCTTATTGTGTAATTCAGTCTAAGTTATTAAAAAAAAAAAAAATCAAATTTAGATTTTAGATGAAATATATAATTAGATATAAAAAGACCATTTAAGATAAATGATGGAAAAGACTATTAAGGGCGTTTCATTTGGCTTTTAATTCAATCAAACCTAATTTTTGAGTAGAAAATCATAAGTAAAATTGTGTTTGATTTAAATTATACATTAACGAATCTATTTAAAATAAGTTAAAATTATAAGTAAGGCGCCACTACTTATTTTATACCTATTCTTTGACCAAGTTAAAAACTATATTATCCTAATAAGTTTATATTTGTAAATGCCATCACTTCTAAGGAATTCCTTGTCTTTCTATTTATTTAATTAAGGTATCCATTCAACAATAACTTTTCATGTATAGTTTTTAGAATTTTAACTAAGTCAAAATATTAATGATATAATTTATAGTGTTCGATAGCACAACATTTATACTAATTTTTAAAATTTGCGGAAGTGACTTATGAAACGTTACTTCCATTTAACGTTTCCTTACTAAAACTTTAATTACTTTTAAAATGACTTTAAGTAGTAAGTAATCAAATCAAACACTTCCATAATTTTTTTTTACTATATTAATAAATGATATAAAAGGTACTTGAATTATGAATATCACTATTAATTATTTTATATTAAATGAATTTTCTTAAAAGAAAATTTTATTTTTTTCTATATTAATAAATGACATAAAAGGTAATTAAGTTATGAATATCACTATTAACTATTTTATAGTGAATGAATTTTCTTAAAAGAAAACTTTATCACCAACTCAGTGAATTAAGTTTCCAAAATTTGGTCATATTATTGATTGAATAGTTAATTTTTATATATTCATATGGATTTCGGTAGATTCCTTTCAAAAAAATGTAGATTTCCATAGATATCCAATAACATTAATGGTCTTGCAATTGATTACAGAGACATACATGGCAACAAAGAACAATATGAGCTAGCTGCGATACTTTATCATTTTTATTAAATAAATAAAAATTGTTTAGTACTTTGTTATAATTACATAGCCTAAGATATCTATAAATACAGTTTTCCTTTTTTTGAATATTAAGGAGAGATAATGACGAAGTCAGAATTTTTTCATAGGAGGCAGAAATATATTTGTCATTTCACGACGAATAAAAAATAAACTTGATTAAAAAACATCTAAAATTACTGTAATTATATAGACAAATATATTACACGTGGTCAATATTTTTTAATGAAAATAGTATAAATGACAACAAAATAATAGAGATGTTTTTTTAGTATAATGACTTTCAATAGAAAAGAAATAATTCTAAAATTTACATATTAGAAATTTACAATAAAAATAACTATTAATATTTAAAATTTTAAAGAAATAAATTCTAAGATAATTTACATGAGTTGCCGAAGATTAAATCTACATATGAACAAATAAAAAGTAACTATAAGTAAGAGCTTTGTAAAAAATATTTTTTTGTAAAAATTATGGTTTATTAGGTGCACACATTCTTTATTAATGTTCGCACGAGATAAATTCTAGATAATTTCGCTATTATTGATTGTTTATACAATAAACTATTAAAAGAGAATCAGATGAATTGTTAAGGCTAATGTTGATTAATTCGATTTTTATAATAATTATTATAAAGATACTCTAATTTACATTATTCAAATGAAATTTAGAAATTCGAAAAATTTTTTTTGAGTTGTTTAAGACTGGTACACATTATAAAATTGGGTACACAATTTATAGAATACTATTATATATTTTTAACTTTGATCGGGCTGGAGAGTGCTTTAGTCATTTATATATCTACTTAAAACTGAAATTATTATTAAGTATGTCAATAAGATACCTATAATACATTTTAAAAAAGGATGCATAAATTATAATTAACTAAAATTGTAGAATTAAATACGAATAGAGTCATTCAAAATAGTAACAAAATTTTAATTTATGAAATTGTGAGATCTTGGGCTTATGTATAAGTGTTAATAAGTATTTTACTATAATTATTATATAAGAGATAGTTAAAATAACTAAGCTAAAAAAAAAACCAAAATTAAAATAAAAAAACAAAAAACTAAAAACACCATGGAAGAAAACAGCAAGGGCCTACGACTATACGCTAACAAACTCACTCCAGTGTACAATAGCTAACATTCCAAGGGGGCCTAATCCTCCTGGTACCGCCTTAGTTCATTCGTTTTATTGAGAGGGAAGATTGCGGATCATAAAACATACACTTATCATTATGAAGTTTATGAACTAGTATGTAAATTACTCAATATAAGTTTAGAATGACAGCTAACAATAATTAATATTAGAGGTTTTTGTTAAACAAATATAAACATATTCTAGTGCTATATTTATAAATATATATTTGTATATTAAGGGAATTATCATAGAATAAAAAACTATTTGATGCGATAAAATATGTAATGGGGTTATGATTAATAAAGTATTAATATTTAAAATTTTAAATATGTTATTGTAATTTTAAAATTCAATCAATTCAATTTCATATTATTTTCTAAAAACTATTAAAATAGAATCATGAAATACAATATTAAATTCATTTTTTGATAAATTAAATATCATATAATTATTCAATGAATTTAGAATTCGAAAATTTTTTGAGTTAATAAAGTATTAAAATATAAATTTATAATACTATTATATATTTTAATATTAACGTGAATTTTATATATTCTTAAAATGAAATTAAATTCAAAACTAAAATTTAAAAAAGGATGCAAAATTAAATAACCTAAAATTGAAATTAATGATATAAGTCATTCAAAGGTAACAAAAATTAATTTATGAAAATTGTGAGATCTTGTGTGCTTATTTATGTTTATATATTTAAACTAAATTTATATATAAGAACTAATTAAAATAACTAAACTAAAAAAAAAACAAAAATTAAAATAAAAAAACAAAAAAACTAAAACACCACTGAAGAAAACAGCAAGGGCCTTACGACTATACTAACAAACTCACTCGTGTACAATAGCTACATTCAAGGGGGTGACTAATCCTCCTGTACCCCTAGCTCCGTTATTGAAGAGGGAGATTCGAAATCTATTGTTGGATCATACATACACTTATCATTAGATTATGACTTAGTATGTAAATACTAAATATAGTTAGAATGACCAGCTAATCATATTACTATTAGAGTTATTTGTTATAATAACATTATACTTATTTAAATATTGTATATTAGGAATTATTATACTAATAAAAATATTAATCATAAAAATATGTATGGTTATGATTATAAAGGTTATAACTTATAACTCTATTAGAATATTATTTTTAATTAAAATATCAAGGATGATTATAATTCTAGTTATTATAATTATTAATAGTATTATATATTATTGTATTATATATACTTTTTTAACCATAACTACAATTATAATACTCCTTATTATTATAATACTTACTGTAATTTATAGATAGAAATACTAATTATAATGATATTGCCATTTATCATTTGTATGTAATCCTAATACTGGTTACTATATATAATGATAAAATAATTAACTATTACAAAAGGTATTTCAATTATTGATATACTTAATTATAATTTTTATATATAGTTAATTCATATAGAATAGTTAAAATATTTTTAACATATATAGTCATAATACTATATATATATATATATATGTCAAAAATTTTAAATCCCAAATTTTATGTACATAAAATTTTTTATTTTATATACGTCATTGTATAATTAAGAACTAATTATTTTATATAAAATGAATTATATGAGTAATCATATAAAATTCAACTCAACTATTATATACAAGAAATTATATAATTATTTAATTTAGTAATAAATATTTAAGAAGATTATTTTAATATTTCATCAATTATTAATATCAAGAAACATAAAAATAACTTTTTATGTGTCTTGATATTAATAAATTTATTAAAGTAGTCTAATAAATCTACTTGAAATAAGTTGAGTTATAAGTAAGGCGCTCCTACTTATTTTAAATATATCTTTCACCAAATTAAAAATTATATTATCCTATTAAATTTATAAAATGCCAACAATACCCTCACTTTTAAGGAATTTCCTGACTTTCTATTTAGTTACTGTATCCTTTATGGTAATTGTAACAAATTAAGTGACTTTTAAAATGCCTATTAGTTAAACACATGAACTATTTAAATATAAATTTAAAGTTTTTTTTGAGATGAAAATAAATTTAAAGTTTTTATGCCTATTCAGCAGTATTTTTCATGTAGTTTTTAATATCTTGTAATTTGTACTATTTGGCACTGTAGTGCTGATAGTGTTTAGAATTTGAAGGAGTTGATTATAAGATATTTTTTTATTACGGTTTGATAAAACGCTAACAGTTGGCAATTTTTAAAACAAAATTATTAGGATATCTAATTTTGCCGAATATGTGCTTACTAGACACTTTAATTATTTACTTTCAAAATTGACTTATAAATTACAAATATATTTTAAGTCGAATATTGAAAATAAATAACCACATCAAACGCTTTCTTAATTTTTTTTACTCGTAAAAGGTAATTGAGTTGTCAATATCACTATTAATTATTTTGTATAAAATGAATTTTTTTTAAAACAAAAAAGGTAGTTTTTTTTTATATATTTCGGTAGATATGCAATTAATTTTCTTGCAATTGTATACAATTCATTACAGAGAAATACATGGCAATGAAAGAACAATGTGAGCTATAGCTGCAAACACTTTTGATATTGAAATAAATTGGATTTATTTACCTTCAAAATTAGTTTCTTGTCTCCTGTCCTATAAATATCAAATAAATTCAGTTTTGAACAACACAATAACAATCAATTAAAAAATAATTAAAAGATCAAACAACATTGATCAAGCAAGATGGAGAACGCTCATCTCAACTTGGCATTACTAGCAGTATTTTTGTTCATGTTATTGTATGTCTCTCAGATTTTTATTCTTTCTAATTTTATACATATCGATATTTTATTTTAATTTCTATGAACAATTTGCTAATGTGAGCCATGAATTTATTTATTTATTATTAATTTACGGTATCAGAGTACAAAATAGTGTATTTCAGAACTTGTATATCGTGTTTTATTAATTTTCGTATATATTACATTGCTTTGATATTAAATTTGATAATCTTTAGGCATGTCAATGGGAAGAGCATCAAGAATACAAATGGATGCACCTCAGATGATCATTGCAGAACTGTTCGATGCCCAGAAGGTCTCTCTACTCGTTGCTTGGATGGCCATTGTCGCTGCGCACAGAGCCAAAAGCACACAGTTGAGCAATTTATTGATGGGAGAAACACAAAACCAGAGTTACAAGCTTGTAAGAAAGATAGTGATTGCACTTCCTTTTGTGCTCCCAAATGCAAATTTGTAAATTGCGTTGGCGGTGTATGCTTTTGTAGTTGCTAATTAAGCCTAAAAAATATTTGATTATGTTATCAAATAATGAGAATTAAATAAAGGGTGTTTGGTTATCGGAATTCAACAATATTTTTATGAAAAATTACTTTTTCGTGAAAGTAAATTTTCAGGAAACTAATAATAGGAATATTGGATTATTTTGTTTGAGTCACGATAAAAAATTTTCAAAAAATTAAGATAGTTTTGTTTGTTAAACTATTGGACTGTACTTATTTTATATTATTATTACTCTATTCAGGAATTTTTTTTTTTATAAGAGTTATATTAAAAAGAAACAACTATCTACTATTATATAATTTATTATATTATTTTCATGTATTTAACTTTCAATTAAAGAAAAAAAAAGAAAGAAATTGATATAATTACTCTAATGAAGCAAATATTTGTTGAAAGCGCTTTAATGGACTGATCTGATGTGAGCAAAATCTAGTTCATCCCAGTGGAATATGAATACTTGTGAATAGTAAAAAAAAAAAAATATTACGACCCTCCTCTTTTATCCGGGCTTGGGACTGGCTATGTAAACAAGAAATTACAAAGATGCAGCAAAAGCAATCAACATAATCATATATAAAAGGTAAGAAATGAGTTTGCACTCCAGGCCATCGCAATCATTCCTTGGAATGAGAGACTTAGCGTAGTTTTTCCTAAATTTCCTGAATTTTGAATATCCTGATTGTAATATGTTAGGTCATATGATATAAACTTGGTAGGACATAAATCTGGTAATTTACATAGGAGTTGTCCGATAATTTGGTGATATTTGAATGGTTGGAGAATTTGTTTCCGTGCAAATTTGTAAACGAGATAGATTTATGCAAAACTGGCGAAATGCGAGGTTGATGGAGGGATTTTCAAAATATAATTTTATAAAATGAATGAGAGATTTTCAATTTGTTCCATGAATTTATCTGTGATGATTTATATAAAAATTGAGTTTTTGTATCCATTTTAATATTGACAAAGATCAATTTGAACTATTTGAATGGATTTCTCATGCACACATTCTCCTTAAATTGAATAAAACAATATAGAAATATAATAATTTCATTTATATTTTATTAATATACAAATACAATTACACATTTGAAATGAAATAATATAAAATTAAAATTCCTTTTTTTAAAGAAAATTGTTAATTCATTAATAAAGAGTATAATATAAGTACATCTTCATATTTTTATAACAGGAATAAGAAATATAAATATAGACCATTTAAATCTCCTGTTTGAAGATCATCTTAATAGAGATATCTTCCAAATAAAAACTGGTATTTTTTTAAGGACAACGGCAAAAGAAATTTCTGCAAATTTACCCTTTTCGGATCTTTATAGACTTAATTAACATCCGCATAAAAGCTTCTTTTACTGTTCTATTTATAAAAAAAAGTTCAATTTTAATTGAAAGATCAATCTTTTCTGTCAAGAAAATCATCTCCAAACAAAAAGTTTCAATTCTCTATATTTATATTTATTATTCTTATTACTGGAATATTATAATGCACTCATATTATAATCTTAATTTATTAATGAATTGCCAATTTTCTTATATATAAAAAAAAAGAATCAGCTTGTTGGGGTTAATTAACAGAAATTGGCAGACTTAATTGTGAAAGTTTGTACATGAAGAAAGCAGAGTAAATGAATCTGATAATTTGATTACTTTTTAAAGGCTTTCCTCCATTGACCAAACAATCACTATATGAAATCCTCTTGAACATTGAATGGTTTATCAAATTTGCAGATGAAAACCAACCGCAATTCAGATGAATATTTGAAGGAGCACAACCTGAAACACATGTGTTTGCTGGCAGAAATCTACTCGTAGAGAAGATTATGTCATCTCAACTATGAACTTTGGCATTCCAGGACTCACATCTTTACTCTGTCAGATGCTTATGTCCTTTTTTGTACATTTAACTGTTTTTCAAAAAAAAAGAAAAGAAAAGAAAAGAAAAGAAAAAAGTGCACATTGAATAAATTATTTTTCTTTTTTTTAGTATATATTGGAAATTGGTACATCATTTACCTGTTATTCAGAAAAAAAAAAAAAAAAAGACAAGAAAGAAAAAGTGCACAGTTGAATAAAATTATTTTTCTTTTTTTTAAGTATAATATTGGAAATTGCGTAACAGATCATTATTACGCTGTTTTATTCAGATAAAAAAAAAAAAAAAGTGATCCATGTTATTCAAAAAAAAAAAAAAAAAAAGTGTACATTTACCTGTTACAAATTGATACCTCATTCACTCTGTATATCAAATTTGCGGATCGGTTTTCATTTTAATGACTTCAATAAATATTGAATATAAAGTTATTGGAATTTGACAACTTTCTATCTAGCTAGTTAATTAAAGAAAACAATTTCACCGAATTAATTCAATAATTTCTTAAACGCCATATTTCGACAAAAGGTTTTGAGCTAGCTTTTAATGATTTGACGAAATCAAAACTCTATTTCTATTAATTATATCGTTCGGTAAAATAATTTTTATCGTAACTTTTAAAATTTAAGAGAACTTTTTATGGAATGTTAAATAACCATACATTTAGCATTTCATATAGCTTACTTAATTTGTTTTTGACAATCACATCAATTGTTTTTTTCCTCGGAATACAACTAATTAAATAGTTAATGTCCTTTTTTATAATTTTAAGTTAAACAATTAATTAAATAATTAATAACTAATAGAACAATTAACACATACCATGACAGCTATCAATTACTATAACAACTAATATTTACAAACATAATCAAAATCATTTTGCAAGTAAGGTAAGATATTTCAATTACAAAATGAATCTCCAATGAATTACTATTGTTAAGTATAATAAGCAGAAACTTAAAAGTGAATCCCTAAAATTCGTTGGACCGATTTCCTTACTTTATGAGTCACACAGCTTCATCTATATATAGAGAATCCCCTAGAGGAGCCCAAGCACTATTCTCTCCCCAGGTCAAGCAGCTGGTAGCATATCAATACAATATAGAGATGGCTAACTTATCATTGAAGCTAGTTCTTTTCCTTGCCCTGATGTTCATTGCTTCTTGTTAGTATCTCTCTTCTCTCACTCAACATATATAATTTTACTATTATGATTATTTATTTTTATTTTCATTCATTTATTTCTAATGTATTAATTTGTGTTTTTCATTTGTGTTCTATAATAAGTTAATTACTACGAGTTTTTTCATATCCAAACAAATCCTTTAGATATGTGACTATTAATCATTTTGGAGTTCCACGACTGTCCTTCTCCGTAAATATTTTTTTTAAACAATCTCCATAAATTTAATCTATTAATGTTGAAAAAAAAATAATGCAGATGTGCAAGTGGAAGCTGGTGCAATCGGAGGTGGCGAAAAACGCGGGCCTGTGATTTCATTCCGGTGTATCCAAGACAAAGATTGTGATGGTAAATGCGGAGACTTCTGTGAAAACAAAGATTG